ATAAAAATGTATATACTGCATATATGTTACTATTTTATAAATTACTTAATAAAAATACAAGTAAAACTTTATCTTAAAAAAAAAAAAAAAATAAGTACAAACTTTCTCTATAAGCATCAAATTCTTAAAATCAAAAATGTAATTATAGAAATATTTAACTATAATTAGTTATTATTATTTATATATCTTCAATTTTCTAAAAGATTTTTATATAATACTTAGTTGCATTATGAAGTTTGTCAAAATACTTATTAAATATTTATTAAGTAGTATAGAAATACTTACCAATTATTTATTGAATATAAAGTATGTTGGAATTGTAATTATAAATATTAATTTTAAATAATTATAAAATTTTTAAAAATTGAGTATTTAATAAATATAAAATTTAATACTTACTAAGCAATTATTATTTTAGATACTTTAAAAATACTAAATTTAAATACTTATTAAGTAGTGCTATTTAGCGAATATAAAGTTATAATTAGTACAACTTGATGATGTGGTTCTATACAAAAAATATGTAATTATAAAAATTCTATTATGATGTGCTTATATACAAGTATTTTTTAAAAGTTTATTAATGAATTTTTCAAAATTTAAGATAATTATATAGAATTTATAATTATATAGGAGGTGATTATAGAGTACGACAATATATATAACAAAAATTGCAACCCAATTTTTCCTTTTACATTATTGTTATTAAGCATTATTTTAAGTTTTTTTTTGCTCAACAAATAAGATTTTGTCGACTTAGTAATTGCTAATTACTTACAACTTCGGTAGGCAAATTATAATATGAAGGTCGAGAGATTCAACTGATATTTATTGTACAGCACAAACGCGATAGGTTTATACAGTTTGGGTACCCGTACTCAGGAAATTATTCTGATTTGATGATATTCTAGACTCAAATTTCACGTGAATAAATCGATAATTTTTGTTCCGGACTTTATAGGTATATTATCATATGATATTATAAATGATTGACAATTGTTATCGATGCACCGTTAGCTAAGCCTGAAAGTTAATAAAGAAAACGGTAATATCATGTTAGAAATCTGGAAACAGAAACCACGAGATTAAAAGCGTGAGTAATACCGATACCCTTTTGTAGAAATCGGTTTAGTACAATCAACTATTAAAGTATAATTTGTTACGTTCATTACTTTGTTTGTAACAAACACACTGCTTTAATGTATTTCATGTAATTTCATATAAAGCCACCCCTGGGGTGTCAAATAAATAAGTATCATCATCGCTATGCCATTGGAAAGCGGGGAAATTGTAAAAAGACTTTCTTTATTAGAAGATCAGAAGAATTTACTATTAAATAGCGCTAATAAACTAAAAGGCTGGCTTGGAACTAACGACGACTCTTCTTCTATAAGTGACAACGAACACGAAGAAACCGTAGCAGAAAAACTAACGCCTGTCAACATGGTCCACGCTGAAGACACATTAATCGAGCGACAAAGTCTTTCAACTTTGGAGTTTCGAGTTCATCATTTGGAAAAATCAATCTTCGGTTTTGATACAATTTCAAAAAGAGTGTTAGCACATGAGAAGTTGAAGGAGCAACTAACATTACTAAAGCGAGTTGATGAGATCAAGAAGGAGTTTAATACAATTATACGCGATGAGGCTGACGGTTTGAAATCGTTCCTCGAGATTTGTAAATATCTATTTATTTTTGTTTTGACTAGTCGACTCCATCTAAGTGCAACTTGTTGGACTTAAAAAGAATGAAATCTTGCACTTAAGGAAGAATCACATTTAGAAAAAATGTCATTATATTGTAACCAAAAAAGACCTTGCATCTAGAGAGAATTTAGGAGTTACCTTTAGAGATCGTACACTTAAAGATAGTCGACTGTAATTTTATTTTCCTAATAACTCGTTATTCATAAAAATTACATTGTGTTAACAGACGACCAGGTATCGGACCTCATTTCTCCCTTCAAAGATTCTGCACTCGCAATGGAGAGAGTTGTACTTACACCTGAGGCTAAAGCAGAAATCGTTTGTTCTTCTGCGGAAGAATTAGAATTAGTAGCCGAAAATTTAGGGCAAATTAAGGATCTACAAGAATCTATAGATGCTCCAGAATTCAAAGGTCTGTTAAATTACCCTATATCATATTCGATACAATTTCATGTGAAATGTTAATAATTTATCTAAATTGTCATCGGTTTAAACTATTATTTTATTAAGGCCTCGATAAGCTCTTTCCTCAGGTTACACCCATTGAAACCAGTCACGTTGACCAAGTGGCTAGAGCTGACGAAGCTTCTACTCGCATAACATCTTTGTTAGACAAATATAATATATTTGTATCCTTTATCAATAACTGGGTTCCTTTGAATCTACTAAATTCATCTATATTGTCTTTGATTAAAACTCGAACAATTCTTTAGGTCAACATACTATCGGAAATTTTTATTTCCTGGGATCACATTCTTTCGACTCTTGATGCACATATATCCACACTTGAGCGAGCAAAAGCAAAAGAGTAATTTTAATTTATAAGTATAATTAGTGGTTATAGTCAATTAAAAATTTATAAGCTTGGCCGAGTCGATAATTTTAATACGGCTGAGTTATTATCTCAAAAAATTAAATTTGCAATAATAAACGGAAATTCCCGTTTGGCACTCACATTATGTTTTATTTTTTGCATAAATAAAAAGGAAAATTCTATTTTAACTTGGCTTAAAGTCCCCCAAGCTATTACTATGCTATTAGTTTAACCACGTGACAACTGCCGTGATTGTCAGGTGACTTTAGTCCAGGTGAAACGGAATCTTTAAAAAAGAAAATATTATTGCATGTTTCGATAAAACGATTGTTTAACATTCTAAAGCAAAAAAAGCATCGTTACGAAAGTGAAGTTGAGAATGCAACTAATAATCATTGCATACAAATGTCAAAGTTTTACTAAGTAAACCATTTTTGCGGCTCTAAGTGATGTTTTTAGTTGGATTAGTTGATTAAGGCCGTTCTCAAGCGCCTACCTCGATCGATTTACGGAACGATCGGATTGGTTGAAAAAATTGATCATGATTATCACTTGGGTTATGATTATCCAAAAAAACCTGGAGCTGTGATCATCAATTTTTTCATATAGCTGCGCTAATTGGTTAAAATTTATCATTAATAGAGTAATGATAGAGACCGCTTAAACATATTTCTTTTGTCAAATTTTTTTTTTAATAAAATATGAATTTTCAACAAGATCATTACCAAAGATACCAAAAAATTATTTGATGCTTTTTATGTTAAAAACTCTTATTGAAAATAAAAAAAATTTAATATTAATATGTAAAAAATAAACATTTATCATATTTTTGCTTTTAATTTTATTTCTATAAATATAATTATTCTATTTATTATTTCTTTAACTAGTACAAGAATGCAAAGTTAAAAAAGATCTAAAATTAGAAAGTAACCATTTTTTTGTATTTAATAAATAAATAGCATGTTACAATATTAATAAACTTAAAACTAAAGAATAAAAATTGGAAAATCTGCTTAGTTGAATAAAAAAAGAGAAAATTGTAATATTAGAAATTACAAAAATAAATCATATAAAAAGAAAAATGAAATTCTTAATACATATTATAATTAAAAAATATAAAAAAAATATTGGAAAAAAAGATGTAACAACCTAGTAAAGTGATCAGGTTGTTAACCTTCTAAATGGTAAGTTGGATATTCAAATCTCATTAATGGTAAAAATTTGGATAATTACCTATGTAATATTTATATTATGACAATTGTTACTAATGATTGGGTTAGAATACCTATAATAGCAGTCACACCAGTATGACTGACAGATCATGAGGCATCTATGCAATGTTGGAATTACATAGAGAAATGCAAACTAACAAATCAGATGATGCAAACACTAGATAAGTCCTTGTAGTTATGTAAATTTTTAAAAATTAGGTAACAAAAAAGTCTATTTAAAAAGATCTGAATAAAGAGATAGCTGAATCTTTGATGATATTACTGTAAAGACTAGCTTAAAGAAACAGATACCTGATCTTAGTAATCAAATAGACAAGAACCTTCAGATTGGGAGTCTCAAAAATATCATCAACCAGGTCACCAGAATGAATTGAAGGAAAAGAATATTAGGTTGATCTAATATACTAATAAACTGGTCATATTTTTACATAAGTCATATGAAGTAAGAGTCTGATAAAATTCAGATATATACTAAAGTACTAAGGTTATACTATAAAGTAGATATTGGGATCTAAATGAACTCTACAAGAGCATAGTGATTTAATGATTAAGTTCTAATTACAAGTGTTGGTTCTGTTATAGCAATACCTAGATTAGCTATAAAAATTAATACAAAAGGCTCTAGAAGATTTATCTTGAGAATAAATTAGTTCTAAGATTAAGATAATAATCTGAACATCTGAATATAACCTAGTGAGTTAATACAGATTATAGGTTCAGAAGGTTTAAAATAGAACATCCAAGCAGAGATGTTAGATATGGCAATTGATGAGAAACCTTCAGGTAGATTATTTAAATAGATAATATAAAAAAGTTATATATAAAGCCAATTGTATACTCTTCTATAGTAGTTCATTGAACCATAATACTAATAAGTAATTAATAAAAATTAAAAGATCAAAGAGGTTACCTTAATACCAAAAAAAAAAAATAATTATTAAAAAAATATAACAGAAAATAAAAAAAAAAGTTCAAATATAAGAATTTTAATAAAAAAACAATAAAAAATATATATAAGTGCAATTAAAAAATCAATAAGCATATAATAAAGATTATATTATATTTTAAACAAACAAAATTAATAGTAATAAAAGTTTATATACTACTGAATAACAAAGAAGCATTTTGTAAAAAATAATAAAAATAATTTTTAAGAAAAGAAAATAAATACAAATAGTTATTATAGATAATTTTAATCATATAACAAAAGGAGTATGGCAACTTAGTAAAGTAGATAAGTTGTCAACCCTCTAAGTAGTAGATAGTAATTTCAAAATCTACCAATAGTAGAAATTTAGATAATTATCTATATAATATATAGATAATGTTATAGTAATAGCATTCTGTTGATCAGTTAGAATAAGATACTTGTAATATAATAGCACTAGCATAACTGGTAGATTATAGGTTATCTGCACAATATTGAAGTTATACAGAGGAATGCAAACTGGCATTGGGTAGTACAAACTCAAAATAAGTCCTTGTGGCTATATAAACCTGTGAACTAAGAAGCTAAAGTCTACTTGAGAAGACTCAAATAGAAAAATAGCATGGATCTTTAACAGTACTACTGTAAAGGCTAAATCTAGAAAACAGATACCAATATAGAAGGAATTAAATAAGCAAGAACTTCAGGTAAGAGGTACTACCAACCAGGCTGCCAGAAATTTTAAATTAAAAGAAAAAAATATTGAAGAGCAAACCCTGAAGTACTAAGGACAGGTTATAGTCCTTCTGGTCTATCTGGATTGGGAGTCTAAGATTGGAAATAGAAATATACTATAAGTACTAGAAATATGCTGTAAAGTTAGTGCTAGGGTCTGAATGAACTCTGCAAGGGCAAGCCCTTTTAATAAGAATTAAATATGGGTAGTTAGTTAGCAAAAGAGTACTTTTGAGTCTTACAGTTAGGTGATATACTCTGAAATGTGTAATAGCTTAACAGATGTACAAAAAGAAAAGCCAAGATTAGGTTAAATAGTATTTAATATAGGTGTACAGAAATTTATGCATTATTTGTTAGTGTAGTATAGGGATCAGAGTATTTAAAATAGGCAATCTTCTAGTAGATTGCAGGTATAGCAGCTAGTATAGAACCTGCTATATAGATGGCTTACTTAAATTAAATACCTAAAAGTTGTACAAATAGCTAGTTATATACTTATCTTGTACAAGTTATGTAATCATAATTAAAAATACAATAAAAGCAGTAGCTGCTAATAATCATGATCTTAGTGAAAGCAAAAAAAAAAAAAAAATTTATATAACAAATAATATAATAAATTAACAAAACTTATAAATAACAAATTTTAAAAGATTACTGATCTTTAATTAAATAAAGTAACAAAACTTTCATAATATATATAAAGAAATTTATCCAATAAATTAAAAATATATAGTTAAATAAAAGAATAATAATAAGAATTAATTATATATAAATGTTAGAAAAGCTAATTTTAGACTTACAAAAAACTGAAATAAAAATATAAAAGAGATTATTAAAAGTAATTATAAAATATAATAACAGAAATATATTTTTTTTAAATATTAAAGATAAGACTATATCTTTAATTTTATTAAAATTTAATTAAAGTTTTTATAAAAAACAGCTTGCTTTTAAATTATATATAAAAAATAAAGATTCAAACATATAATCTGTAATCTAAATCTACAAGATTGCTAAAACTTACTTAAATTTAAATATTAGTAATAATATAAGAGAAAGTGATATAATATTTTTTTTTTTTTTTTTTTTGAATTTCCACTGCTTGATCGCTAGTGGTCCGCAGCTGGCGGCTGTTTTATTAGTTC